CTTAATATAATGCTGCTAATGTATGTATATATGTAAAGGCATATTTGATACATGATATTGTAAATGGATAATATACAAGTTGCGAAAGAGCTAGGATTGTCTTGCATGTTAAACACAGAAGTAGGAGCTGTTCTAGCAGTACTTCGCCGTGGCCCTGAATCGACTTCCCAATTTTATCACCATCCTGATGAAAATTGTGATGTATCAGTATTACAATCCTTAAAATCTCTTAGAGCCTTTTTGTTCAATCCTCAACAAGAATGGCGAAGGATTGATCCATCGTTGTATTTATCTCCGTTTCTTGATGTAATACAAAGTAATGATATTCCAGCTACTGCAACGGCTGTGGCCCTTCAATCCGTCTTGAAAATACTCCGGCTGGGGATATTTGATGAAAGTACAGTCGATGCAAAAGGCGCGATAAATTCAGCTGTGACAGCAGTTACAGGCTGTCGTTTGGAGAGAACCAACTCGGTTACTGAAGAGGCAGTTATGATGAGGATTTTACAGGTCTTAACTGCTATTATGAGACACCGGGCTTCAGTTTTGCTCACGGATCATGCAGTCTGCACCATTGTTAATACATGTTTCCAGGTGGTTCAGCAATCGGCCAGCAGGGGCGATTTGCCTCAACGCAGTGCGAGATACACAATGCATGAGCTGATACAGATAATATATTCTAGATTGCCAGATATTGAGGTGAAGGATTGGGAGAATTCGGATTCAGACACTGAGGATAACAATTTGGATTTGGGATATGGAATCCGTGCTGCTATTGATATCTTTCATTTCTTGTGCTCTTTACTGAATGTAGTGGAAGTTATGGAGACAGAAGGATTGATATCTCAAACTGCAGATGAAAATGTTCAGCTTTTCGCGTTGGTTTTGATCAATTCAGCAATAGAATTGAGTGGAGATAGTATAGGCAAGCACCCGAAGCTTCTGAGAATGATCCAGGACGATTTGTTTCATCATTTGATCCACTATGGAGCGGGCTCGAGCCCTCTGGTTTTATCCATGATTTGTAGTACTGTCCTCAATCTATATCATTTCCTTCGCAAGTAAGAACACGTAATCAATAAGCCAAAAATTCATTCTTCGGGACTTCTTCTGGCTACAGAAGCTTGCAACTCAATATTGCCTTCTCTTTTCAGGTCTATTCGTCTACAACTGGAAGCTTTTTTCTCGTTCGTGTTATTTAGACTCGCAAGTCCGGGAAACTCACTCCAACTTCAGGAAGTTGCAATTGAAGGACTCATAAATTTCTGCAGGCAACCAACGTTCATAATTGAAGTCTACATCAATTATGATTGTGACCCAATGTTTCGGAATGTGTTTGAAGAGACAGGCAAGTTGCTTTGTAAGTATGCATTTCCCACTGGTGGGCTTGCGACAAGCATGCAGATACAAGCTCTTGAAGGGCTCGTAGTCATTTTTCACAACATTGCAGATCACATTGACAAGGAAAATGACCCGAGCCCCACTGGACCATACCCAGTTGAGATCTCTGGATATAGACCTTTCTGGGAAGAGAAGTCTAAAGATGATGATGTCGAGACTTGGGTGGATTATGTGAGAGTGAGAAAGGTTCAAAAAAGAAAGATATTGATTGCTGGAAATCATTTTAATCGCGATGATAAAAAGGGTTTAGAATACCTGAAAATTTCCAAGTTGATTGCAGATCCACCGGATCCAAAAGCTTATGCTGCGTTCTTTCGTTACACACCCAGCCTAGACAAGACCATGATAGGGGATTATCTCGGCGATCCTGATGACTTCCATGTTAAAGTCCTCAAAGAATTCTCGGACACCTTCCAATTCGCGGGAATGATTTTGGACACAGCCCTTCGAACTTACTTGGAGGCTTTCAGATTGCCCGGAGAATCTCAGAAGATCCAGAGAATTCTTGAAGCATTCTCAGAGAGATTTTATGATCAGCAGTCCTCAGAAATTTTTGTTACTAAGGATGCAGTTTTCATCCTTTGCTATTCACTTATTATGCTTAACACTGATCTACACAATCCTCAAGTCAAGAAGAAAATGACAGAAGAGGAGTTCATCAGAAACAATAGAAAAATCAATGGAGGAAATGATCTCCCTCGAGAATATCTATCCGAGCTTTTCCATTCCATTTTAACCAACGCAATCGTGCTTCAAGGTCAATCTGGTGCTGGTGCACCTGTAGAAATGAATCCAAATAGATGGATCCAGCTGATCAACCGGGGCATGTTTATGCAACCTTTCATCTTATGTGAATTTAATCGTAGATTGGGACGAGATATGTTTGCTTCTATTGCTGGACCCTCAGTGGCAACACTTGCCGCAATATTCGAACATTCTGATGAAGAAGAAATCCTCCATGAATGCATAGAGGCATTGTTTTCAATAGCTAGAATATCTCAGTATGGACTTGAAGACACTCTTGATGAACTCCTTACCTCATTCTGCAAATTCACGACGCTACTAAATCCTTATGCATCTGCAGAAGAAACCTTGTATGCTTTCGGCAATGACATGAAACCAAAAATGGCCACTTTGGCAGTTTTCACAACAGCAAATACGTTCAAGAATTCCATCCGAGGAGGTTGGAGAACAATCATTGACTGCTTATTGAAGCTAAAAAGGCTCAAGTTACTTCCTCAATCTGTTATTGAACCTGATAATGCTTCAGATTCGGGTTCTGACTTTTCAGCAAATGAAAGATTGGAATCTGGTGTCGTTTTCCCCAGTCATGATCCTAAATTCGGAGGCCGACACCCTAGTTCTGGCATAATGGGCCGATTTCTAAATTTCCTATCACTGGAGAGTGTAGAAGATGCTCTAAATAATGGTGTTAGTGAATTTGAACAGAATCTCAAGATCATTCAGCAATGTCGTATCGGGAGCATCTTCAGCACTAGTGCAAGTTTACCTGACGAGTCATTGCTTAATCTAGGGCGCTGTCTTATATTTGCTGCTGCTGGTAAAGGCCAGAAGTTCAGCACTCCAATTGAGGAGGAAGAGACTGTTGGTTTCTGTTGGGATCTAATCTGTGCCATCGCCTCGGCCAATACACACAGATTCTCAACATTTTGGTCCCATTATCATGATTACTTGCTGGAGGTCACACAACTTCCTCTATTTTCACCTACTCCATTCGCTGAGAAGGCCATTGTAGCCCAGATGAAGATGTTCCTCAAGCTTCTTGCTTCGGGCCAATTCGACTCAGTTGAGGAGCTCCTGTTGAAGTCCATAGTTTTGATGTGGAAGATGGAAAAAGAAATCCTCGACACTTGTTGTGAGTTCCTAGTGCAGTCGGCAAGCAAAATCATTACGGAATATCCAGAGAAATTGCAAACACATCTGGGATGGAAGTCACTCCTGCATTTGCTATCAGTTACTGGACGTCATCCCGAAACATATGATAAGGGGGTTGAGGCCCTAATCACATTGATGTCTGATGAAACCCACATTTCACCAACAAACTATTCCTACTGCATTGACTGCGCATTTGGTTTTGTAGCACTCAGAAACAGCTCAGTCGAAAAGAACACGAAAATAATGGATTTGATGGCAAATTCGGCAAAATTGCTCGTCCAATGGCATAGAAGTGGTTATTCAGACACTGGAAGTTATGCGAGTTTTATAAGCAACACAAGTAGGTCTTCTGCAGAAGAAAATGCAAGAGGTCACAATCTCATGACATTTTTTCAAAGGTTAGGAGAATCCCTTAGAAAGACAACCTTAGCCCGTAGAGAAGAAGTAAGAAACCATGCTGTCACGTCCCTTCAGAAAAGCTTCATACAAGCCGAGGAACTCTTATTCACACCAGCAAACTGTATTAACTCGTTTTACAATGTGATATTTGCGATGGTCGATGATTTACATGAAAAGATGTTGGAGTACTCAAGAAGAGAGAATGCGGAGAGGGAAACAAGAAGCATGGAACGAACTCTTAAGATTTCCATGGAAGTTTTAACAGCAGTGTATCTGCATTTCCTTGAGCCGATATCAGAAAGCCCTAACTTTAGGACATTTTGGTTGGGAATACTAAGGAGAATGGATACGTGTATGAAGGTTGAATTGGGAGTATACGGTGAATCAAAATTGCCAGATGCGATTCCAGATCTACTAAGAAAGATTGTCACCTCTATGAAGAATGAGCGGATTCTGATACAGAAAGGAGAAGATGATTTATGGGAGACAACCTTTTACCAAATACAGTGGATAGCTCCAGTGCTCACGGACGAGCTGTTTCCCAAAGGCACTGGCGAGTAGTTCCTAGATTCTTTATATGATTCTTCATTGTGATCTCTGTAACAAGTTTTTTTTTTTGAGGCATATATTGTATGTCTATGCAAGTGACACACTTCTTTTACACATTCTTTCCAATTTCTTCAAATAAGAACAATATCACTTGCAAACAATATCACAGTAGTTAGGAGAGTCAAGCCAAGAAACTGATTTCAACAACCCATATAATAACGTATGTAATCAATAGAATGAGTTCAGAGAAATACACTGAAGATCATGATATATACAAAAACGAATATGTGAACTCTGGTATACAGCTGGAAAAGACAAATTATACTACAATGTGCTGCTAATATTCCGATACCAATCAATCCTAATTTTGGATTGCTCTTTCATAATAGAATTCCACCATTTTTTGGCATAAATATTGAACTACACAAATTATTCCTGCAAAATTGTTCTAAATTTTCTTGACTTGGTAATTACAAGAGAAAGTGGAACACTGAAGTCAGAAATAAGGTAATCACACAACAAAGCAACTGAATATGAGCATCTTTTCATCTGAATGGTTGCTGATGATGGGACACTTCCCAACAAAGTGAAAACGTGTAAGCAGGAAGAAATACCAATACCCGCTATAGTCCCTGTCATCTTGTAGGAGATGGAGTTTTGCTTCAATGGTCAATAATCAAGAAATCACCATATCATGGCAATCTAGGGGTCCTGATAGGAAAATATCAGTAGCATGTCTTTCTGATTTAACTGGGACTTATTTATACACAACTGGAGAGAAATGATGAGATCAAGACCCATTACTCTTCGAATGCACGTGTACATATTTTCTCCAGCAGCAACGACCAGTCTTCACCTAGTTGCTGAGGATTCAACTCCATGGCAACCCTAAAATCCTGCAGAGAAATGGTGCAGTGGGCTCTCTGTTCTTGAAAATCCAAAGGCCGACCACTAATCTGCATCTGCTGTTGATGACCTGGTCTGACACCATTAACAAGCTTCATATAAGCCTGGTGGTTGTGGATATTACTTTTTGTTAGCTCGTGCCCAAACCTAGCCCCCACAAGTTCAATGCAAGACCTGATTAAATTTTTCATGTAACAATCCAAAACATGGTTCAGTATGTTGGCACAGTCTATTGACACCCCTTCGAGACCCTGTGCTGCAGCAATCTGCCCCATTCTTTCCCTTAATGTTAGGCTGTCTAACAAAGCACCATCGCGATATGTGCTAAAAAATCTACTGCTACTTGCACGTGGCAGAGCTTTGTGGGCCCCTCTAATGCTGACTGAGCATGGTGGAATCCCAAGTGGAGCTCTAAGCAGGCTCCTGGCGTAGACCTCTTTCCCTTTATCTCTAACAAGCAATTCAGTTGAGTCATTGCTATGTACAGAACCTGGACCATTAGATGTCTTTATCGTTTCATTCCCTGCTTCCTGCATGAGTTCTTGATGATGCTGCATTGGCCTCCCAATATCAAGTGGATTCAGATTCCCATTCTCCAAGAAGACATTGAAATCACTTGACCGTGCACCAGTCAAGTGCTGAGATGCAAAACTTGTTTCACCATTTGGTACAAGTGCACTAAGGCGTTCCCCAGTCCTCCTATCACGGGAACCTGTCCTGGCTTTTTTGGGTGACACCGGCAATATGTCACCTCCATTCACCAAACCTGGCAAACCAGAAGCCAGTGTCTTGGTGGTTTGAGGTCCATTTTGATGACTACAATCATTCGGAATCTCCTTGTTATTAACTTGTGTACCGTGATTCACATCATCACTGTAAATTGTCTGTGGTGGGAGTTTTGCACTACAAGCATTTTTCAGTATTGATCGAATAAACAGATTGTGTAACGGAATATTCTCCCGCCCAAGAATCCTAAGACAAAGCTTATTGAACTCGACCTTACTCAGCTTCAAACTCAAGAAGCTATTCAAGTAACGAAAATACTGCTTGGACCCCATCGGCCCAAGTTTCCTCACTAACTGAACTTTAAACTCAGTAAGATTGATCCGCGAATGCTGATGAGGTGGTTGCATATCTCTCTCTCTCTCAACACTCAAAATCCATGTAACACAAGCACTCTTCAAAACAACAATGATACAGAATCTCCAACTAAATTAGCATTTTTTCGTACCAATTCCAAAAACCCATCTTCCAAACAACATTCAATCCTTCATAAAATCCCTAATGATGCCAAACCAAAACCCATCTCCAAAAACTTAATTTTTACACACAATAGTTCGCCCTGAGATCTCAAATTTCCAATTACATTTACTCTCCCTCCAAAAACCCCAATCCAAAAATTTCCAAACTTTCAACACTATGCCCAAAAAGCAAAACTTAAATACGCAAATCCTTTATTTAACTAAACTTCGAAAACCCATTAAAGATACATCCTTTCAACTATAAGTAAGCCCACCACAGTTCATGTATTTCCACAAAATTGCGGAATAACCCAAATGCCAACTTTTCAATAAAAGCTTCAAGCTTGAATTCTCAACTTCAAGCCCAGAGTTTCTTTCACAGAATTCATACTTGAATGAAGAAAGTGATTCAGAAATGAACCTAAGATTCAAACTTGAAGAAAAATAACATTTACAGAGGAGAAAATCAATGGGCTGACCTTATTGAAGCTCCCGATTCAATTCAGCAAAATTAAAAATCACAGAAACTCTCAGCTTTTATATTCTAGAATTCTTACTTGTTTCTTGAAACCCACGTAGTTTGTTCTTCAATTTGCTCCTTCTTCATTCTGAATTTTCTTCGCATTTTCAAATTTCTGCTTTTTCCCCTCAATTTTCTATTCTTAATCAGAAAGCTGAAGCCACTTTTCTCGCTCTCTCTCTCTCTCTCTCTGATCGCTGTAATTCGGTTTCCCCTCTATGTAGAAGTTTATAAAAAATTTTTTGGGTGGGGGGGGGGGGGGGGTCTCAAAAAATTAGTTTTTGGTCAAAATGTTTTGCATCTATTAAATTACTTGCCTTCTTATGCATAGAAATTGGATATAATTTATGTGTTATATAAATGTAAATGTGTAATAACAACTGAATGCACTATTTTTTTTTTTTTTCCCAAAACTTAGAGCAAAACGTGATAAAAGGAAAGTACAAGAAATTCATGGAACTTATTTATCTTGACCATGTAAGAACTTCGTGTTCACCCTAAGGTCACTTTTAGTGCTTGTTTGTGTCCTATTATTTGTGACTAATGTGTTATGGAATAGTGATTGATATTGAAATGTATGGTTAAAAAGAGATGCTAAACTTACACACATACGTGGACCCCACGTAAATTTTTTTTAATACATGTGCGGCCCCTGCACAATGAGGGGCCCTGTAAAAGACTTGTGAGAATCTCGTAGATAAAAGAGGAATAAAAGCTTTTGATTTACATATAATATTGTTTTAAAATGAGTACTGTAAAAAAAAAATGTATTAGAATGTGGAAGAATAGTAGACAAACAAAGCCTTGACATCAATAGAACCCTATTTAATATGTATTTATTTCAAGTTGGGCGATAAAGGGTAGAAGAAGAGCAATTCACTCATTTCCTCAAAACAAATGTTCTAACATTGTAAAGTGAGGCGAAAAGGACAAAAAGTTCTTTGTTCCTAAATCTCCTTTATATCGAACTCTTAAAAGAATAATTAGTTAGGATGGAATTCTAACTAACGATTTATGAGTATGATTTGATAAGAGGCATTCATTGAAGAGCACACTACGATGACAACTACAAGTTGTACTCGAGAGAGATTTGTTGTCTATAGTTGACTTCAATTGTAGAGTCAATTGGGGCTTAAGAGACGTTGGTTTACCATGAGACAATTTCAAATATTTGAGTTTGCTTCTCTCTAATTCATAATTTTATATAATTTTAGTCAGTATAAAATTACAATAATACCCAAAAAATTTTATTTTGACAATTTAATCAATGACTCAGGGACATGGATAAAATTTAACATTTACTTCAATGTATTCAATTAAAAATATTGTTGAAATAATAGAATTATGTAAAACTAAACATAACATCTAATTTGACATAGAGTATGAAAATAATATTCATACCCTTGTTTATATTGCAACACGTTTTAATTGCAATGAAAGTTTTCAACTTTTGCACATTTTAGCATTTATAAAAATAAACTAATTGAATTTTGTGTGCTCTGCTTGATTGGATTTTAATCAAGAGGAAGAAACGTGAAACTTAAATAACTCGCTCAAAATGTTTTTTAAAAGATTACATGGTACAATTAGGTTAAATAAGCCTTTCTGGAATAAATATTTAGCCGCTTGAACATTACTATCTCTAAATAAAAAGTATTGTCCGAGATGAAATTTTGAATGTCTTAAATGCCGAATAAATTTTCAACATTACTGCAACTAGAATTGTCGCGACCCCTCCAACTATGAATGTTTTTAGCTTTTCTATTTAGATCTTCAAATTTACTAGATAATAGAGGCATGCAAAGGTGTCCTCGGATCGAATGGAGATTAGCTCTTGAATCAAAGGTAGAAAAGGAGCTTGATAGCAAAACAGTCTATCGAGTAAGGGACGAAAGTCGACCTTAATCAATGGTGCCAAATAGAAAAGGCCATTGCTCAAGCGATAAAAATTACTCTAGAGATAACTGGCTGATCTTCTCCAAGAACTCACATCAACAAGAATTCAAGGAAAATGGAATTTCGTATTTTACATTAAAATGGACATCCTGGATAGATAGATCCATCGGTAGATTTACAGTAAAGATCTTTCTACAGGCAGTATAGATATCTCCTATTCTTCGGTTCCTTGCTGTCCAAACCCAGTGTCGAATTAGGTTAGGGAGCTAGATGATAATTGCTCATTTGCATCTCAAAGTACGCTGCTCGTGACAGTGTAGACTTAAGTGGTCATATTGAATACTTGAAAATCATCACAAATACGGTCAGTCTATATTGAATAAAAATGTCGTGTTGTCTAGTCGAGCCTAGGAAAAGGTAACTTTCGCAAACAGCTTACTTGCATACTCAACAAAGATCACCCCCTTAGCGAAGGTAGGGGAAGGACTAATGATTCGATTCCAAAGAAATGGGCTCGATACTTCAACTAGAGAAGCAACCGTTTGGTTTATCAAACTCTAATAGAGCGTCAGGCATCATCCAGGTCCGAAGGAATCTAGTGCCCAACTACTGACTTCTTCTAAAATTGTGTTATTTTAATTGAATTGTGACTATAATGGATGTCAGCTCAAATTGAATGAAATTATGCGAAAGCTTTACAGAATTATAATGAAACTATGGATCCCAAACAATAATAGAAATATTTGAGGCTTTGATTTGGATTTGATCTTAGATTTTATATTTTTAAATCATGTGTTTAAGGAGAAGTTTGTATTTAGCCAAAATAGATTGTCAAATAATGAGCAATGAATACTTTTTCTTTCTTCTAAATATTTAGTTTTTATTAATGTCAAATAATTATCGTAAGTAAATTGCTCCTTTTGGGTGAGATTGCCTTTCTACGAAGTTACTCTATGAAATTAGCCTTTGACCATAATGTTAAAATTATATATATATATATTTCTTAATTTTAAAAATATTAACTGTTCAAAATACCCACAAAGGTCTTCAGCTCTACTTCATCTCTTTCACCATCATTGTCACCCCTTATCTATTGCTCACTACCCTCACCCGTGTTGAAAAATGCTCGCGAACCTTAGGTAAAAATTATTTTGCTTCCAAGTATTTATTCATATGTGATTATTTTATTTTATTATTATTATTTTTTTACTTCAATTTTGAGTTTTGTACGTATTCATAGATTTAATAATATGAGATTTTTCTTTGATATCATTGTTGTTTAATGCTTGTGTTTTTACCTAAGTCGAATGATTTTGATTTCTCGAGTACATTTTTAGATTATTGAGTTGATATTATTATTATTATTATTAATTTTTTTTGTGTGGAGGCTGACATTTTCGCCAGTGCTAGTGAAATGTTCTTTTCCCGAGCTCTAGTCATTGTCATCTGCACAGAGACTTCTCTGTGTCACCTATACCATTTCCACCGTCGAAAAATTGTGTTGTTGCAATTTCCAAACTCTGAAATACATCCACCTTGGGAGTTTGGGCTGACAAAATTGTATTTTTCATTCCGACTCCGATTACAAGGCCGTCAAACTGCTTCAGGTTTTTAGAAAGGCATTATGCCGTTTTGCCATTAGTTAAATTGGGTGTGAAGTGAGAATTAAAGTATTGGCTTGTGTTTGGAGAATTTGGTAAATTTTGGACAAATTAAGGGCATTTAAGATTTTTAATAACACAATAAAATAAAGCAAAATTATGTTCACATTGTATTTTTTATTTGTAATACTACATTTTAATTTCATTTAAAGTCCTCAATTTTTGCTTACTATAACAATTATGTCTTTAACTTTATTTTGTACGCATTCTTATTTTTAATATTTATTAATTAGCACATCTCGTTATTACTTATCACGGTTTCTGTCAAATAAGTCTGTTGGAAGACGTAAAATAACTAATTTTTCAATTATTAGAAAAAAAATGATGAATATAAAAGCATGACAAATTATTTTTTCTCATTTCAAAGCACAAAAAAATATATTAAGATGCGCAAATCAATAGAATGTGGAAGATAAAAATTCGATGAATAATAAACCCTTGTTTGACATCTTTTATTTTAATTTAATTTATTTCTCGTACTTATTTTTAATCACACATTCACGTATTAAATATTTTACATGTAAATTCAAAATTTTTTCCTTCTTTTCGACTACATATTCTTTAAAAAAAATACTATTGAAAACTATGTTTTAATAATTTTAAGGATGTCAAACAGGGATTAGTGTAGACAAATACAATGAGCAAAGATAGGGAATTTTAAAATGCGATGTTACTTATAATAATAAAAATTATTGCTTTTGTTATATCGACAGGGGCCGGGTAGACAACTGGCCAGTAGGGTGCGGAGGGGCGGCGAGAGGGGCGGGGCGAAAGTTGAAACCTTGAGTTCCTTGAGTCCCAACCCCGACTCGACAATTCTCGGTGTTTTCTCTTCCACAGACACATGTCACCTCACTGACGCTTGTCTGTAATTTTTTACATTCATCTTCTTAAATTTGTTTTTACATTTATGTTTTTTTATTTTTTTTTATTTTGTGAATGTGGAACTTATGTTTTTTTTACTGTTACGTAATTCAGTTTGGATTTTCTTAAATTTGTGAAGGCATCTGGATGATAGTATTTTATATTAACTAATGTTCAGTGTCTGAATTTGAATTTTGGTTTTGTAATTTCTTGGAATTTTATACGATATTGTGCTGGGGCTATTGCATTTTTTGTGGGTAAGTACTTAAATTGACAGTAGATTAAAAATTTAAGTCGAACTACCTTTGGTACTCATAGTAGTTTTTCTTTGCGTTCTCCCTTTTTTCTGTTAGAAGAAGCAAGTTAATAGCAAGAATTTGAATTGGATTCTCTTGTTTCGTCATGTCTAAGGCATCACCATTCCATTTGAATCTCATTACATTAAATTTTATTAAATTTCATTTTTCTCTCTCCTATTTTCAACAACAAAATCTTCCATAAAGCCCCTATTTCGCCCCCATTACGTGGAAAAATTAATGGGTAGAATAGTATTTTTTTGAAAAATGAATGGTTGAAAAAGAAGGAAAAATTTTCGATTTACGTGTAATATTATTTTATGGAAGATTGTGTGGTTGAAAATAAGGGAGAGAAAAATGAAATGTAATGTAATGAAAATTAATGGGGCTCAAACGGGGGCAAAATAATATTACACGTGAACCTAAAACTTTCATTTTTTTCAGCTATTCATTTTTCATAAAAATACTATTCCACCAATTTTCATTTTCAAAAAATGGGGGGCCAAACGGGGGCTATTGGAATTTTAATCCATATGTTACCATATGTGTGGTGCCAACTTTCTCATGTTTTAGTCTCTTTTTCACTGAAACATGCGTAATTAGAACATTTATTATCAAATTTTGTTGCGCTTGTTGCAATAAATATTGGAAGTTTCTTATTCTTGAGAGAGGGTTTATAATAAAATCATTAGAAATGATTTAGGATTCTCAAACTTTAGGGACTCGAGTTAAGAAATACTGTTCCTCATTTTCATTATCTGCTCACTCTCACTCTTTAGAGTAATCCAAATTTCTCTAAACATTTGAGGGTGGTGGCCAGTGGCCCAGTGCTTTGCCAGAAGCAATAAATCGATCTTTTATCATAAAGGTTATACCCTCAAGCAACAATAGGACCCTTGATGCTTTCACTGACACAAGATTTTATGAGCATAATATTTGAGCGATTATATTGCCTCTAGATCAAAATAAATGTGAAATCAACGGCCATCTTCCCAATTAAAGGGAATGCTTTCTTTTCAAATTTCAATAATACAAGTTATTACTAGTAATGGCTGGTGTGCTGAATGAATTGTTTATCAGAGATTTGACAATAGCCTTAAAAAACACATGCTTTTGTTCTATGAAACGAACTTTGTCTAAATCTACCAATGTTGATTTAGTTCTTGTGGGAAGAGGTCACGTCATGTATGAATTACTCAGCTTTATTGAAAAGATTAGTAAATTCTCTGAACCTGATGGCCCAGGAAAAATCTCATCCTTAATACTAAGTCTATTATCTTTAATTAAGTCATGAACGCAACAATTTCCTTGTAATGCTGGTTTGATATCATTAGTATGTCATATATGATTGTCTGCACTTGAGACGTTGTGGATACTTAAAGGTAATATACTAATCATTGTTAAAAGATGACAGCACAAACTATTTGTAATATGCTAATAATATCATTTAATGATTCGTTATGCATCAATTAACCACGATTATCTTTATCATGAAAAACACATAGCATATGTCATTGATTAGTGTCAGAGATGCATAACTAATTATGAAATAATTGCATGTATATTTCTAGCTTCATTCGTCATATCCATACAATATTCTCAAAACATGAGATGTTCAGATGCTTAGAAATTCATTATCAAAATTTATAAAATGCTTATGAATGTATTCACTTAATATGGGCTTGTTTGAGCCCCATATTTATTGAAGAATACATTTTGGAATCGTAGATTGATGGAGAATGTGTGATTAAAAAATAAGGAAAAGTTTTGGATTTGTGTGTAATATTATTTTGTTAAAAAATGTGTGGTTGGAATAGAAGAGAAAGAATAATGTATTTTGAAAATAATGGGAATCAAACAAGGGCTATATCTAATTTTATCAATCTGTGTTCTATGGAATAGCATTCAGCCTAGTTGGAAGAAAACAAAAGCTTTAAACATATGCTCGTGGCTTCAAGCCCCAGTGCTGGTGTGTAAAAGGTTTTTGTTTTGGGCTCTATTAGTTTCAGAAATTTGCGTCTTTATTTGTTATGTATGTCTTCTAATACAGTAAGGAGCTGACTCCATTTGGCTTATTTGGTTGAGAGCATGTTTCCTAGCCTGGAGATCTCTGGATCAAGCCTTACCGTGCGTGTCTAAAGAGAGTTCCTTTTTTTCCTAATTTGGCTAGCTGGCTATACCAAACCAAGTGTCCATGTTAAATAATGTATCTGTGCTATAATGTTTTAATGGTCAACACAAAAATGAAGGTTAAAAATCAATTAGATGAACTGGCTCTAATAGAACATTAATTGATAATCCACATTAAATAAGTGGATGGGGCTCTAAAGACCCTGCTGTTAACACTGAATTATATAGGCTTCCATGTTCGGCTAACCAGAAGCAATTAAGAAACGGTTTGGGGTAAGTTTCCCAGCTGTTTGAAAAGGCTTGATAGTTCTCAGAGATAATGAGCTTTGACTGATGTTTGCCTAATGCCTTTTTTTTTTTAATGGAAAATAACGCATCAGAGGCCCTTATTTATTGGCTAGATTAGGGACCCTATCTTTATAATTTCCATAACTTCTGCCTCCCATCAAGGAAGCAGCACAATTTCATAATGGGTTATCATGCAAACAAGCCAAATTAAGTAAGCCGTGTATAACATTGTTGTGATATAAAATGATTTAACCTTGTGAATTATATTGAATCTAAAGAAATCTGAACGCTAGATGGCTTAGTTGATCCATGATTTATGTTTCATCTTTCGTTTCCTTTTCGTTTGTTTCGAGAAATTTATCGATCAATTCCGCTGTATAATATGAGTCTAAATTTTTTAGAAGTAGAATTTGGAAATATAACTATTTATGCTAAATTTCTGATTTCTGTGGATAACGATTTGGTTATGCATATGTAAATGTACTATAATTTTATAAAATTGCATATGGATTTCACTTCCACGTGTTGATTGATTTGGGATTTTATACTAGATTATGGCGGTTAAGAAAAATATTGAGGATGTGCAAGGCAAAGACAATTATCCGTGTGGTCAGCAATTGTTGATCCATAATGGGAAAGTACTAAAGGATGAAAGTACATTGGCTGAGAACAAGGTCTCTGAAGATGGGTTTCTAGTGGTCATGCTAAGCAAAGTAAGAGCTCGTCCTCTTTAAATCTGAGAATGCACTTCACGTATCATTTTGATAGCTTAAAGTTTCGCGATGTACTTTGATATTTGTACCGAAATACTCGTGCACGGATGCTAACCTTTTTACCTGATATTAATTGCTCGTGGAAATTTTGGAATGTGGAACCTGGGAGTTTTGTTGTAGAGTCTTCATTCAACTATTTTATTTCTTTTGTTTCTTGGTTACATGTGCAGGGCAAAAATCTGGGTTCTGGTGGTTCGACATTGTCCCAGGTATTGTTTTTGAAATGCATTTTCCTGTCTTCAAGGTCTATTTATCTAATTTTTTTATTCATATAATGCGCGGATTTCTTAATACATAATCTTTTTGAGCAGCCTGCGCCTACTTCTGTGCCAACTTCTGATCCTATATCTGCACCTGAAGCTCCTCCACCACCTGCTATGTAATTTGTTATCTAAGATTAGTAATAGTATTTCTGTTGCTTAAGTTGTTTAGTCATACTAAATTATGCAAATAATGTTTTATAGGGCCCTTAAGAGCGTTGCATCTGCTTCCGATGCTGCTACTGCTGTGTATGTTTATAAATATTTATATTCTGAATATTGGTCTATATTCTTACAGATCTATTAATCAAAGTTCTGTGTTAAGTTTTCTCTAGGCATTTGATAAAAATCATTATTTATCGTGGCAGTGACCCTCCGTCTGATACTTATTCTGAGGCTGCTACGAGCTTAGTTGCCAATAATAATCTTGAGCAGACTATTAAACAAATAATGGATATGGGTGGTGCTAGTTGGGACAAACAGACAGTCGAACGTGCCCTGCGAGCTGCGTATAACAATCCTGAGCGAGCAGTGGATTATTTGTATTCTGTATGCTTCAATTTCCTTTCCTATTCTGCGCTTCATCTTAAAAGTTACAGGATCTTATATATTTTCTTTAACCAGGGAATCCCTGAAAGTGCAGAAGTTGCATTGCCTTTAGCTCAGGCTGGGGTGGATCCTGTTGCTGCAACAGGTGCGGCAGGGGCTGCACCTGTTTTGGCGGGGCCGAATTCATCTCCATTGAATTTGTTTCCTCAGGTTTGTCATCATGTTATGGTTGCTTCTCTAAACATGTATTCATCTTTTTCCATGTTTCATGTTGTCTGTGCCTAAAACTTTCAGGAGGCCCTTCCTGGTGCCAGTGCTACTGGTCTTGGATCCCTAGATTTTCTCAGGAACAACCAACAGGTGGGATTCTGATTGTGTTTTGCATATTATATTGACCGACTAAATCATGACCTCAGATATTATTTCTTTAGTCTCAATTCAACTTGATCTTGATTTTATATTCTTTTGGGCGTTCAACTATAATCTTAATGAACATATGAGGTCCTTGTGATCATGGAATTCTAATCAACTTTTTTATTTGGCTCCAGTTCCAGGCGCTGCGATCGATGGTTCAAGCAAATCCACAAATTTTACAGGTCATTCAGCATCATTCTGCTGTGGTGACATTTTATTAATCATTTATTTTAAAGCTATAATCTGGTTCTTCTTCTGCAGCCCATGCTTCAGGAGCTTGGAAAGCAAAATCCTCAACTTTTGAGACTAATACAAGACCACCATCAAGAGTTCCTTCAGTTGATTAATGAACCTGTCGATGGTTCTGAAGAGTAAGTGCTTATATACGTACTTGTATAAAATCTACTATGGTACAATTCAAACCCCTATGTGCTTGTTATCGCTTGAAACATGCTTTTTACTATCATTTAATATTTCTTTGCAAATTAGCACCATGTTTGTCTTTGATTCTTTCTGGATGTCCTTCTTGATTGGCTTTGAACGGCTTGCTCTAGAATGATAACTTTAAAACCCCAGTTGAAATCCGCCTCGAAGTGTGGCATGCAAAAAAAGCTTCAGTTGTGGGAGGCACGTCTCATAGCTCCACGTTAAGGCTTGTGGCTCTCAAAACATAATAATTGTTATCGATCCATTTTGAGAATAATTCAATGTCTGCTAACAGAAAAATATTCTCTCATAGAGCCACATTGGAAATAGTCCATTGCTCCTACCAACGTCAATAATAGTTTCTTTATAGATTTTCTTTTATTTGTTTGCACTCTTTTATTTGTTCTATTATTGATTTTGAAGATTGTTTATGATGTATTATGATCTTATTTTGCATTTTAATAATTTTTGACATTTGTTTTGGTTTACTATGAGGCTTATGACTCGAAACGCCTCGGCTCATGAAGGAAATACGCCTAAATTTCTGATTACGCCTCTTTAAGCATTGTCAAGAATATGTTTATTTTTGTACTAGAATATTGACTTGGTGTTTTGAGGTAGTTTACTGTTCTTACCGGCATGTTTATTCTATTTGTATTCTCGTATCCAATTTCTAGTATTAAGTCTGCAACTAGTTGTGTATTGGAATCTCCTAGATGTGTGTTTCTTTTGGGCCAGATAATGTGTTGTGAACTTATGCTCGGTTTTTTATTTGGTTTAGGGATATATTTGACGAGCCTGAGCAGGACATGCCCCATGCTGTTAGTGTCACACCAGCAGAGCAGGAAGCCATCGAGCGAGTATGCAAAACCCCCTTTGCCCTTTCTCTCTCGACTTTTTCGTGACCTATTCTAATTGTTTCTTTAATACATACAGATGGAAGCTATGGGTTTTGATAGAGCACTTGTTATCGAGGCCTTTTTAGCTTGTGACCGCAATGAAGAATTGGCTGTGAACTACCTATTGGAGAATGCTGGAGATTTTGAGGATTGAGAGAATGGAAAACCATAAATTTATATTCTTTATTTCGCACAGATCAACTCGGGTTTCATAAAAACTGTTTTGCTTCAATTGCGGATCACATTGATCCCTTTTTAAGGATGATCAATTTAACCAAAAAGAAATGAAAAAAATTGAGAAAAAATGTAGAATGTGAAAGCTCGAAAGATTAGTTTATTGATGTATCCCTGCTGTGTTTTAATTTGTACGGAGGAACTTGCTGTTTGGTACGTCGTGAATTAATGTCTTGTTGAAGGCATGTTTTCGAATGAAGAAATATTTATAATATTTAGAGTTTTGATAATCCATCAACCGTGATGGAAAATATTTCGAATGTGACAATCTATAATGTTGTAGAATGCGAAATGGCAATAGAAAATGTCACATCATTCGAAGAAGATGAACGAATTTCATCGATGAATTTATTGCTCTGTTAAAACTGGGGAGAGCAAAATATGGTGTCATCTTTAAAAACCATTGAACCTTGGAACTGAATTTCCGGTAAGAACCCACAGTTAGAACAGAAACGAGCAAATTGTTACATCTTCATACTAACATCTCAACACAGATTGGCAGCAGAAAGACCTGTTTACGCATGGCTGAGACATTAGAGGATTTGCACGCAAGGAACAAGAGTCACTCATCAATTGCTCGAGACATTAGGGGGCTTGCAAGCAGGAAGAGATCAATAAACAGACGGATGGAAAGCAGTAGTCACTATCAATATAAAGACGGATCCCTGGACAGCAAATATAAAGATCAGAAGTTGAGTTGAATCGACAGTACTGAGTCAATCTTCCAATCTATTATTTCTCATATTTCATATGCACAATTAAGTCATTATTCTGTTTCAGCCTACAGCAGCAGAAGGGACAAACTTAGCTTTTATAAAAACAACTTAATACAAACCAGCTTGTATTTATTTAGAAACTGGATACAATAAGCACGCATCAATACGTAATTTCTTTTGCATTCGTGAGCAACAGAGAAGTACGAACGATTCATACATCAGAATATGTTGAATCCTAGTTCAGAACGGAGGCGCACACGAAATGCTACACAGAAATTTGATTATATATATGATTAGAACTCCCTGTCGGGGAAGATAATTGGTGCAACCAGAGACCAAAGAAACAAAGCAGCAGTTGCCCACCCAGTTACTATTCGAACCCAAACAGATGGCCACCCGACATCCACTAACTTCCCGCTCTCTCCAACTGAAGTTGACCAACCAGTAAGGATCATTGCAGAATACATACTAGCTAACGAGAATATCAAGTGGAAGAAGGAATATGAATATGTAACTGGTTTCGACTTCTCTTTCTCATCACGCTCCTCCTCAGCTGCTGCCTTGTCCAGCGGTAGCAAAGGCTTCCCAGCTCCTTGAAAAAAAAAAAGAAAAAAGAAAAAAGAAAAGTTACATTTAAGTCAGAAACAATGACGTGAAAAATGATGATCTTGTACAAAAGAAATCGGCGACCCAAGCATCACAATTACACACGCATAGAAGAAACCTTGCCCTTGCCCTTGCCCCAGCGCCAGCCCCAGCCCCAACACCATAAACAAAAACAAGCGGAATTACTATTGCTGTAACCAAATTAATTTAAAGCTCGAGTTCTTTGATGTTGAGTAAGATAATGAAATTTCTTCATTTAGCCCCTGTTTGAGCCTCATTAATTTTCATTACATTACATTTCATTTTTCTCTCTCCTATTTTCAACCACACAATCTTTCATAAAATAATATTACGCGTAAATTGAAAATTTTTCCTTCTTTTTAAACCACTCATTTTTCAAAAAAATACTATTCCACCCATTAATTTTTCTACGTAATGGGGGCCAAACAGAGGCTTAAGAACAAGAAGCATCTATCAGGGATATGATTCAAGCACACTGCCTCCGGCCCTCCATGTATGTTAAATCAAAAGCAAGCAAATTTATGTCGGGTTAAAAATTCAAAACCTGCTCGGGGTGAACTTGGAGGGGAAAGTAGAGTTGTAGAAGATCCAGCACGAACAGCAGAGTAGACAACAGAAAGCACAGTTGTAAGGAGCCCAATTGCAAGAGTGCCTGTGGAAACTGCTTTTGAATGCTTGTGAAGACCATTGCATTCGTAATCCCTAGGTTCACTGGCGAGCCCGCTATAGCAAAGGTAAATGCAATACAAAGATATAACTGAAGCTGGCAAAATGCTTCCACCAACCTGCATCATAACAACATAAATTATGTATTCTACCATCAGCATACCACTTGTTACACAAAATAGAACGGCGAATATGTCTGTAAAAGCTTCATGCATCATTAATTTGATCAGATCAATTTAATGAAGATCACAATAAATAAGATAACTAAAACAAAACTATAGCCAAACATAAAACTAATGGATTAATAGCAAACCAATGAGATGCAAGCCAAAGGTATCAATAAAAAATAAATAGAAAGTAATTTCCACATATATTTCAAAATTGCGATGTTCTAAAAATAAGTTAAGAAAAGCATATTTCAAAATATTTTCATCTTCGGATAAAAGTTCCATAGGACCCAAATCGAGAATAAGATGCAAAGTTCATGATCCCTAAGAAATATATAGATGAAGCAAATCAGATGTCAGGAAAAAATTAATTAATTATTGGCTTCGTCTTTATCACCATTTTACTCACAGTGATAGTTAAAAAGCAGCAGTCAGAAAACAGTCGTTGTACAACTACACTTCTTCTACTCAAAAGAAGGCTTCCCTTCTGTAATGAAGCAAATGATGTCCTTTGGCCACAGGAGAACAAAATGTTCTAATAAATTAACAACTCAATTCATTTTCCCCCCACAAAGTTTCTTACCTCATCGCAACTCGTAACAATGTTCATGAATTGCATGAAGACCAGAGAATCTAATGCAGCAATACAGAAATGCATAATGCAAGGACACTGGTGCACATACACACATGCACACATTAAAGATAAGACTCTTAAGTCTCCACTTATATAATAAGTAGTGTGAGTGTGTGCCAAACCAGAAAACAGAATAAACTACATAACAATCAGGCATTCAATGTTTAATGTATGCATGATAATATATACTACAACAGACATTCATATGCATCACCGGGTCATTATACATTTTAGGTAAGAACAGCATTATAAACAATAGACCATGGTAAGTTTAACAAAGACAAACAGAGAAGATGTCTATTAATTCATTAACAGATAGTGGAAGATAAGAAACTCACTGATGGGTGCAGCGTGACAATAGCAAACAAAACCACCAATATCAAGGTCATCACTATGAAGAACGTATTAAGCCCACAATCCTGTCCAGACGGTACAAAAAGATAAAAGAGAAGTCCCGAGAATGAAAAGGTTGCCACATAGCATACAAGTGAAACAACAAGCAAAGCCATGTACCTGCAGAGAGAGATTAATTTCAAATGCAGAAAATATCTCTTTTTATCTATGAACGGTAACCTGAAAGTAAACAAACAAGCTCAGCATAAAAAAAATAACTCACCAAAACTGCTCATCATAACCAACCCATTTGTCATTCCACCCATGAACAAAATCAAGCAAAAGCACAACTTGAACAAGAAGGAAAAGTCCAGAACCAAACTTAGATGATGCCTCTGCATTTACAAAGCAAAAATGAAAATCATATCAAAATTGAAAAAAGAAATAAATATAGGATGATCCTCACAGCATGATAAGCTTTTATGTGGTGCACAGATAGGTCACTTAAAAATAAGAAGAAAATATTCTTGAAATTCCACATTTAGCTAAGAGAGCAAGGAGTTAAGAGGTGATAAGTTCCAGTCAAAGTTACATAAAGATAAATTCCATTCATTACATTAGAGGGGAAGAAAAAAACAATGAAGTTATGGTCACACAACACAACGTTCATTACAAAGAAATCACATCCTTCTAACGATGCACTCATAAGTTATAAAGACAGAAGATTTGGGAAAAAGTTTGCTTAGTGAGATTGAGGGGAAAGTAAAATCAGAAAATGTTTTGCCCCCTGTAATCCACACTGTTTAAATTCTTCTGCGCAGAAACAAATTTTATGCTTGGATCGGGTGGCGGTTTTTTTCTTTGGCCTGTGAGAGTGAGTGTGAGTGTGAGTGTGAGTGAGGTTGAGGGTGTGGATATGGGTTTTCTTCTACTCTTTGCACTACAAGGAATAGGTACTTCCTCAATTCCTCTAAAGCCTATAGTAACACTTTTGCTCCCTTTCAATCCAATTCTTCGAACAAAACATTCATAAGTTGCTATTTGGAAAAGAACAGGACATAACATTAATTTGAAGGTTTTTTTAACTTCTCTTTTCTTTAAGAAGTATTTAAGTGCATGTTTGGTAAGTGATTAAATTAAATTTTAAGTAATTATAGATTATGAGTCCTACAAAATGCGTGGATAATAAGTGGACCTATGAAATGTGTCAATAAAAAGTATGTTTGAAATCACTTCCCGATCATGCTCGAAGTCATAGCCATAAAAACTAGCGCTCAGCGAAAACTTGTAGTGTCTGACTCAGGAAATAAAGGGGAAAGATTAGCCAATTTCTGAAACAGAAGTGTTACTAAATGGTACATTAGAAATGAAGGGGAAGTAGAGATTAATTTAAAAATACTGTGAAAAGAAATAAGTTATTTATTTTTTTTATCAGTTTACACATTATCAGAATACTCTAATTCAAATTGATGTTGAATCATTCTTTTCAACTTTGACATCCAGCCCTCCAAAATCTGGAATAGAAATGTACTTTTACATCTGCTCTCTCATCTTATCCTTGCAAAGCAAAAAAGCGCATTTGTTTCCCCCCTTCCCTCTCACTTTTTCTCCAACCAAACACAGCTAATAAAGAATATAACTACGGAAAAGCAGATAAAACGAAAAGTTAAAATATAGATCCCTCTTACAAACAATTCTTTCTTCAATTTCCAACAAATCAAAACAAGTTGCTGGAAATTTTCACGATTCAAGTCAAGAATAAAGCTCAATCCTTAAAACTAATATGATGTTTGTTAGGCTGCTAAGTCTTCAACATCTCAACCCCATGAAATCATGGTTGATTAGCATTTAGCAGTTGTCTCAATCTATATCAAAATGTAGAACATTTAAAGAGTTTGTCCATATTTTATCATTTTCCAAATTGTGAACAAAAAAGATATATGTAACACAATAAACATAAGAAAGACATAATTTAGTGTGTAAATCTCAGAATATTATAGCTTACCATAAAGGTTGATGATTTCATTAGGAATAAAGAACATCAGTATTACCAAAATGCACCAACAAATAACTTTCATCATCCAACCTCCATGGTGCATATTATCCCGAGGGTCCTTCTGGTTCTTCACACCAATCATAAAAATAGCCAAGATCGTGAAAAATAGAAAGTTTCCCAAGCTAACTCGCAGCACAGCATCTGTTTCAAACCACTCTCTATCTGGTGTTTTGTGAAAATGATTGATCCCTGCATACAGAAAGGTATGAAATTCACATCCATCTATCGCAACTAAATTATCTAAAAATAATTGATTATGCAGAATCTTTCCCTTTTCTTTCCCTTTTCAAACTGAGAGTTTAAAGAAAGGTTTTGATTTAGTAAACAGCCAGTTGTCTTTCAAGTCACAACAGAAATACTAAATTTTCCATAATCAAAACTAAACCACCTATGAAAAACTTACCCAAACAAGGTAAAAAAAAAAATATTCATAGCACCAAATGAATGTCAAAGGATATTTTGCTACTAATATCCAACCACATTAAGACAAAATTCCAGTTATGATTAAAATCACCATTCTTTTAAGAATCATTTTTATTCTCAAGGCCACAACCAATAAACCCAAAAACAATTAAATTAAATTAAATTTATGTTATCATAATAAATCTCCAGAACGGTGGCATAAAGTTCTACAATTCTGTCAAGATATAATTATTAGGCATTGGCCTACAAAAAATACTCCTCTACAAAAACAATACATCTATCACATCCTTTTTTTTCCAGTAAATTAAAGGAACGAAGGAAAGAAAAGAAAACTTACAAGGAATCTTCTCCATGAGGGGTGCTGCAACCTCTCTAAGAATCCAGGAGACGATCAGGGAAAGTGCAAAAAGACCACAGTACGCAATCCTAGCCGACCGTCGGCTGATCCCTGACACCACCGTGCGGCATGCGTCGCACGCGCAAGCCGCACAGCACGACGCTAGACATGAAGCTGCCCACATCTTCTATACAATAATTGATAAAATTAGTCTCGCAATATAATCCAAAACCCTAGGATCGAATAATTCAGATAATCGGCTTCAATATCAAAGATACATCCTATTATAATCTATGTAATGAATTGTATTTATTAAAGAATTTGGTTGCATCAATACCTATACAGATTGTAAGTATACCTTCTGAGAAAGAAATGTTCAAACCGCGTAGAATTGCTTGACGACTTGGACTAGGGGATCAACAAATTATAGTTTTGTCGGAAGATTTTCTAAATTGCAATATGTCCCCTTATCTATGACATAATGGTATTTATACCCCTTAAAGTTTCGCTTTTAATAATTTTGGACCGTTATGTGATCCCGCAAGATAGGCCTAGGGATATAGTTGAACTTTTCTACCCGACGTCAATCCATTTAGGGCCCGTTTGGTAAGAATTTTGAGAATTGATTTTTTGATCGTTAGAAGAAAAGTGGGGTCCACATGTGAGAGAATAAGTCAAAAATTACGGCTTGAATAGTAAAATAACAATCAAAAAATCAATTTTTTGCGGCAAAAAATTCCTACCAAACGGGGCCTTAAATATAACATACGTAATTGCAAAGATTTCAAAATACATTTTCCAAAATGAAAATTTGTTAAATAAAAAATCAGGTAGTCATATGTTATGACCTCTCATAAAATATTGTAATGCATATTTTAATTAAATAGGTCACTATTACAATAATATAATAATTTATTATCACGATCACATACGAATCATGAGTTATACAAGGTTACAATCACAAAAAAAGAATTAGTTTATAGCATCATGAATTTTAGTCACAAATCACACATTAGTAAATTATAGATTATTTATTAATCACAAATTATCTAGTTATCCATATTAACTTATCAAAATCGTTTTTCATATCATCCCACTCCACCACAATGGATACCACTCAAAAAATTGTCACTACCTCGATCTACAACCCCCCACCACTACCATCACCTACAACTTATCCAAATTCATCGACTTCACCAGCACTTCAAGTCACCTACACCTCAAGTCCACCGCCAACAATAGATCTCTAGGGTAGAAAAGATGAATAAATTTTGCTAACTTAATTGACTAGAATTTCGTGTAGATAATATGTTATAAAATAGAGAGAAAAATAGAAGAAAACAAAGTAGTCAATAGACTTGCATGTTTTTCGTTGCAAAGCAAAATCTCATATTTACAGTAAAGAATTAAGGTTGTGAATGATATAATAATCATAATAACTAACAGTGCAGGAGTATAATGACAATTCACTTATAAACATATAAATTACAATAATTCTTTATTTTTTCTTTTAATTATTTAAATAGAGAGGGTAACCTTGTCATTTTATAGAGCTTCATATAGAAAAAAATTGATTGAAAGCTTGCATTGCACAAAAGTTTAAATGATTTAGGAGAGTTTTGTGCAAAAATAAAAGGTCAAATAATATTTTGTAAAATGGGTAAACTTTACGAGCATATCACCAATCATCCTTAGTCCCTGTTTGGAAATCGTTTTATATAACTCTTTTTTCTTAATCTCATTTTCAATTATACACTCTCATAATAAATATTTTGTACGTAAATTCAAAATTTTTCTTATTTTTTTAATCACGCATTATAAAAAAAATCACTATTTCAAATTTTTTTTCCTGTAAAATTCTTGAATTAATTTATTTGTACAATTATGGTTGATAGTGATAGATGACAACATCAAAATCTGAACCGTTAATTTTAAAATAATTTTTGAAATGGATGAATGTCATATTATCAAGTAGGATTGTTAATCAAAATTATAAAAAAAATAAAATTGTACAAGTAGCACGATTAAAAATTCTTTATAATGATCGTCAAACATGAGTTTAGCCCTTGTTTGACACCCTTTTAATTTGTTTTATTTTTGACTACATGATCATTTTAAACTATACATTCACAATATATATTACTCATAAATTCATAATTTTGTCTACTTTAAATCATATATTTTCCAAAAAATACTATTTAAAATTATGTATTGATAGGGTTGGACGTGGTCCGGTTCGGTTCGGTTCTAACGAGAACCGAACCGACCCGAAATTTTCTGGTATTTAGTAAGTGAACCTGTCGGGTCCAAATTTAATTACGGAACCGTTCGGGTTCGGTTCCAATCGGTTTCGTATTATAATTAAATTTTTTAATATATACAAAGTTACGTTAATTTAATTAATGATATATTTAATATTAGCTCCTACAAAATAACGTAGTTCAATCTTATGTGTTTCACATCTATCTTTGCTGAATTCTTCATAAATTTGATTATTAAAATCACAGAAAGAGAAAGACTGCGAGCTCAAAATAATTAAGAGAGATGTTGTAGAGTTTTAATTCGATTTTCTCCTGTAGCAACGACACTACAGTAGAGTAACAGATTTGGATAAAATTGAGGTCATTTTGATTAAGTCGATTTTGAACTGAATATTAGAAATTGGAAAATCATATTTTGTAGTTTGAACTAAATTAACTAGTTAAAAAATTTATTTAGAAAAAATAAAATAATTTTACTTATTTAAAATAAATTAATTTAAAAAATTACGGAGATTCGGTTCTTCGGGTCTTGGCCTAGAATCGAGAATCGAACCATACCCGTCGGTTCCTGATTCAAATACCCATTCGGGTATTTAATTTGAGAAGAACCGTCGGGTTCGAATCGAAGGGTTCGATTTTGAGAGTTTTGTCCAGCTCTATGTATTGAAGATTTTAAGGCCACCAAACAGTGACGTATTTGACCCTACAATTCTCCGAGGGTCAATCCGTCAATGTCCCAAATTAATGGCTTTTCGCTTTATTTTTTGGTCTCTCTCTCCTACCGGAATGTAGAAAGTGCGTGGCCAGTTCATGACGGCATCTCCCTTTATCCGTGTATCCAGCCGAGACACAACCCATAATTAAGGAAAATTCATATCTAATTTCCCTTTTTTCTCTCGAAGATTTCTGACTAAAGGGAAATCTATATTACTTGAGGGGCATCCACTCTTACCCCGCTCGAATCGTGCGTTTGAAGGCTCCTTTATCTGTCATTTTTTCTTGATTCGTAAGTTCCATTCTTTTCTTTTTTGACATTTATGATATTATATATCTGTTTGCATCTATGGGTGTGCATATAAGTGATTTGTAATTATGGGTTCTCGCAGATCTGTTGTGTAATCCTGATAATTTGATATCCGGCTGCAATTTTATTTAATCGAGAGGTTAATTGAATCTCGTTGAAAATCTTTGTGGGTATTCTTTTATAGATTGATTCAGAATGGATGGATGGATGTAAAATGGAGTTTAGAACAATTTAATTTTACAAAAAATTTATGAATAATGATGTATTTGATTAATCAGTTCCCATAGGTGAATTTTGCAGCTATTTTCCCCTAATTTCTTGATCTGGTAAAATATTGTTTCACAAACATACCAGGCTTTGCACATTGTTATTTAATATCGGTCCTTGGATTGATATAGAGTTATGCACGCATTTTGTTATATGCAGAAGGCATGTTGGTTTAATGCTTCTTAAAGTTATTTTTCAATGGATTTTTTGTACCAGGTAAATCCATCCATATTATAAAGACAAAGATATTGAAATATAGTTCTCCAAAGACGAAAGTATGAAAGAAGAATAGTAACAAGATTGATGTAATTTTAGGGCTATTGACCATCATACTATTCTCAACTAAGCATTGCTTAGATGAAGCTCTTGAAGTGTAATCACCTTTCTTTGGACTTATAACTTGTAAGGACCCAATGATTGCTATTGTTCTTCTACAAGTCGCATGTATCATCCTACGAGATTTAGTGTAAGCTATTGTGTGGAAACTTAGCCAGGCGTAAATTCGGGTTTCATGTTTATGGGGCTAATGTTGACGATATAACACATTAATTTATTAAGTCCTTATTTGATCTCCATTATTTTCAAAATATATTTTTATCTCTACACATTTCAACTATACATTCATCAATAAAATAATATTACACGTAAACCCAAATTTTTTCTTCTTATTTTTTAGCCATATATTCTCTACCAATATACTATTCTAAAATGCATGATTAGCCAAAAATGGGGCTCAAACAGGTGCTAAAGAAGATTAACTCATGAAAGTTGTTGGCTTGTTGCTAGTGGGAATATTTGTCCACTCAAAGAAGGTCATCAACAATAAGTGTTTGCTGGACTATTACTTTACTACTTATAGAGATCTTCTGGAGCAAAAACTATGCTAATTGCTATTTATTTAAGAATATATAAGAGGTGAATCAGGGATTTGTCCAAATCTATTTGGCATTCTTGCTATGAATCCTTTCCCTTGTATCTAGTTTAATATGATTGTATCTAGTTTAGCTCCCGTTTGGTCCCCATTTTCTAGAAATGAAAATGGGTGAAATAATATTTTTTTTGAAAAATAAGTGGTTGAAATAGAAAGAAAAGTTTTCGATTTATGTGTAATATTATTTTATGGAAGATTGCGTGGTTGAAAATAGAAGAGAGAAAAATGGAATGTAATGTAGTGAAATTTAATGGGGGCTTAGAATGACTGTATATTTTCTTTGGAAGATTACCAAAAAGAGGTCATTATTTTGAAGATTATTCTTAAGGATACATGGATGTGGTCATCTAATACTTATAGAACAACTTGCACTGCATAAATAACTGTTTGTAGATTTCGAGCTTGGTCCTTTTGATGCTTTTTTCTTGTCAATTTGCCTCTATCTCATGTTGAATTTTGAGCTAGCTAAGAATTCTATGATTTCATTCCTCATCTTACCATCTACCAACGTGGGTTGTGTTGAGTGAAGTTTGATACTGGAGTAGGAAATCATTACCGGTTTTAGTGATATATGAGGAGTAAGGATTGCTTCTTTTTCTTCGAGGAGCTTTTTTATTATGCTTTAGAGTCTAATTTAGGTAATCACAATCATCAAATGATTACTTGTAATATATTTCTACGTTTTGTCATAAACCTAATCCACTCTTTGTAAAACCAAACGTAGAATAACTTTTAGATCTCCTAGTAGATATAGAAACTAGCAGAAGGGAATGATGAAGAAGGATTCATGTAGCCGACTTCAATTGTATTTGTTGAGAATAATGCTTAGTTTCTTGTTGTATAAACCAGTTGATTTTCACTCTTGATGGTTTCTCATGTAATTCGTATTTATTATTTTTCATTAATTTGATCAATTTATCAAATTCAGCACGTTGTGGTTTTTAGCAAACAACACTACATTATTGCATTGTAATATCTTGTCAAATATGATATCTGGACTCTTGTATACTTTAGTAACTACATTAAGGGCTCATCTTTTCCCTTTGCTTTTGCTTCCTGTACAAAAGCTTTCTGAAAAAGTTATATCTTAATTTTTGTTTGGAAACTAATTTTTAAAAGAGTTTTATATTCCAGAAGTACTTTTAGAGGAAGTCATAATGGAGCAACTTCCTCTAAAACTCCTCTAACTAGAAGAAGCACTTTCATAAAATTAATCAAACAGCTCCAAAGCAGCTTTTGGGTCTCAAAAGCTATTTTGACTTATTAGAAGTCATTCAAACGTGCCCTAAGTAGAATGACTGAATGAGAATTGAGTTGAATATTTGCCCAATGAGATTTGCTTTTGTTTTTCATTTAGTTATTTGAAATTCGGCCAGTAACAATAGCCGTTATTTTTAATGTTTTCTATATCCTTTTTATTTTAATACTGTTTCCAAATGTCTTTATGTAGAGCGTTTAGCATTAAAATTTGGATGGTTCAATTTTTTTTTAGGAAAGCTAGCAGTTAAACTCAGATCACATAACTTTGAACTCCAGAATAATGCTTGACCAATCAAATAGGTGTAGTGTCGACTTACTCTTTTAATTATTTACATAATACTGCATTTTGATGAAGTTATGCACTTGTACTCATTGAAGCTCGCCTACTTATTCGGTTAACTGGAACACTTGCAGGAATTCTTGTGTGGCAGTGGAAAGAAATTGGCAAGCTATGGCTCTTGACAGCACGATAACTTCACCTCATCGAAGGTCACAGCCACAGACTGCATTCTCTTCTTCTTCTCCTAAGAAACAGTACTCACGAAGTGATGAACTGGGAAGCTGTTCAACTCTTTTTCAGCGACACCGGTTTCTTCTCACCGCCCTTGCCCTCCTAACATTTCTGTGCACTATTTATCTTTACTTTGCTGTGACCCTTGGGGCTAGTGATTCATGTTCTGAATTGTCCGGAGCTCAAAAAGCCTCGTGTCACTTGCAGCAGGCAAAGGCATCTGTTGCTAAGGGAAAATTGAAATTCTTCTAGCGCGTCATGTGCCGTCTACTTAATAAATATTTTCAATATTTGGTCCTTTGTTGGGATAGAACTATATTAGTTTGGAATGGTTGTAGGTTATTTTGCTCTCTGAAGAGGTTATATATTTTTGGTGTATATTGCAAAAAGGAAATTGTTCTGAAAGACTATTTCTACCAGTAACAGTGATTATAATGAAATTATGTGTTTATGGGAAAATTATAGTAAAAAGAAAAGATGATGATTTTTTTTTTCTTTTTTTGGTTGTGCAGCTTTGAATTTCCTGGCTCAGGGGCAAATCATAAGAATATTATTATTTTTAATTACTACAAAGACTTAGGCCTGCACGGGCGACGAGACCGAGCACCAAACGTTGGTCCCTGGCCCACCCAATTTTTACCTGTGCCAGTTGGACCAAAACCGTGTTAGGAGGGTCTTATTTGGCTCATGTTTTTAAACATTTAAATAATTTGTTATTCATATATTGCGTGTATTCTACCTATCAAAAAAAATATATTGCGTGTATTCTATCTATCCATTCATCATTCATTTGAATTTATTTAAAATTATTTTTTCAACATACTTTAAGGTAGCTGCTAAACTATACAGACAATGTGATTATTAAGCAAGAGACAGAGAGCATAATGTAGACATAATGAGTGAGACTCGTATGGAAGGCAGTAGCAACTTGTGACAATTTCACCATGTTCTCCTCCTTAGGCGATGAATTTTCTTGAATTGAGTTGGACATGAATGTGAAAAAGTTCTCCGATTCTGAATCTCCTAGTAGCTGATAGCATTAAAACTACTAATCAAAATGGATAGTGACACATAATTAATCAACCCCTAGGACTCTCTACCTTGAGGTGTCCCGTTTTGCAGGGATCAAATGGTGAGCCTGATCCTCGAGCATCGAGTCACTAGCATCATCTTCAATGCTCGGCTTTCCTCCTCCCTCTTTCTTCTCTACTACGTATCTTGAAAGGACTCTATTACTATAATCCTACAATTTAAACATCTAATCATACCAAGACTCTCGAGTCTTTTATGACTTCCAAACAAGGCACCAAGTATCACAATCCTGGTAAGATTGAACTACCTATCTCTTATCAATATTGGGTTACCATTCATTATTTAGGTACGTTTTCATTGTCATAGCCTCGCGCATACATTCTTTCTTGCTAACTTAAACATCAGAGGGGTAATACACTTCAAAATCTTTGTTTCAGGTATCAGAGATTCTGTTCATGCTCATCCTTAATCGCCAAGTTTGAGAATTAACATATGAGATCTTTGGTAGCATCAGATAAGAATAGGCAAAATAAATGGAAGAATATATTGTAGCAACAAAGTTTGCTTTCACACCAAGAAATTGGTAGAATGAATTTTAAATATCAAGAAGAAAAATAAACTAAAATATTATTTGCAAGAAATATAAACTGAAATATTATTTGCACTAGTCAAATTCAATTGGGGATAACAATGAGAAAACATGGTGATTAAAATATTCTCATTAAAAATGATGTTCGATCAATTTTTGTAAGATCATGTTTCTGGTCATCGCTTCCTCTTTGATTTTCAAACGGAGTGGGCTAACACAGGCGAGGAATTAAGCCTTTTCTGGGAGAGCTTTTGTCAATTCTAGCCAAAATGTGACCGTTATACATATATATGTCAAACAAGGCCAATTGCAATTATGGACCATTTTAAGGCAAAACGACATTTTTCCCTTTAACATTTAATTCATTCTTTATGAGAGAAGGGCATTTTTTATATTTAATTTTGAGAGAGTATAGAATTGTGGCCAAAGTGGGACCCATGTTCAAGTGTGTAATGGGAGAAAAATTGCTAAAAATGGGAAAGAAACTAGAAAGCTCTCCAAACAAAGTCTAAATGTCTTGAGTTACCATTAAATTTTTTGCTAAAATACTGTGAAAATATAAAATTTTGTGGGATCTATCTCAAATGGTATCAAATTATTAAATTAAAAAAAAAATTGCTCAAACTTGTCAAAATTAGATTTTGCTACTTGTACATAATAATGGTATATAAACGGTTACAGAAAATTATGTGATGGACAAAGATTGGATAAAAAATTGGCTATATTTTAAATTGATAAATGATAGAGTACCATGTAAGCATTATATAGTTCCTCATGTACATATATGTAGCAAGTTCCGCTAAAATATTGTATTACTCGAGAGAAAAGGGAAGTTTAGTGGCAAAGGAGAATATTTAATCGGGGCCTTTATGTATGTAACCATGGCCATGTGACTGCAATCTCTCCTCCTCCACTCTCGAAATCCCAATATTTGCAATTCTGATTGTTGTATGGTTGTTAAAAAGTCAATAAAAGAATGTGGAATAAAAATAAAATTGAAGGTCGGAAAACTGGCCTATGCAACCACATAAGCCAAATGACCATTTACAAAAATTCATAGCCCTATTAGGTATTGATCTATGCAATCGCATAGAACAAATTTATAGCAGTTTATAACCCTTTTTTGTTTAAATTTCTGGTGGCAATTGGAGTTTTTTTTTCCAACTTTTTGAGTGTTTTTGGGGGTTTTTTTTTTTTTTTTTTTTTTCAACTTTTTGAGTGTTTTTGGCACCAATTCATATGGTTTGATTGAGACCTATAAATAGATGATCAGTGCTCAAGTCAAATAGATGACAATCAATTTTGAAACAAATTCATTCCACAAAAAAAGGGAACAAAACTTCATTCTCTCATATTCTAAATTCTGGTTTTGTGTTCTTGATGTTTTGAAGAATTTTCACTTAGTGTTTGAGTGATTAATTCTTTTCAAGGCTTGATTATTCCTGCAAATCATTTGTCAATAATACCTTAAGCACTGAATCAATCCAAGAGTGGGCAAAATATCGTTTGAGGACAACAATAACGTGGTTGAGCCTTCATTTTTAATTTTCATCTTCTTGTTATTTCTACTTTGTTTTCTTCTCCATTCCCTCTTTGTGCAAAGATATATTTTACAACAATCTCAAACGATACTTCTGCAATGGAGAATGAAAGCACTATGGCGACGATCAAGTTGATGAATTAAGACCTTGTTCACTTGGACCGTTTTGATGGCACGAACTTTGCAAGATGGCAAGATAAATTAAAGTTTCTACTCACAGCAATGAAGATGTTTTATATTCTTGATCCAGAATTGGTACCTTTACTAAAACCAACAAATGGATAGATGGATGCCATAAAAGTCGAAAGACAAAATGGTCAAGAGGATGAATTGATTTGCCGTGGTCATATACTCAATGCATTATCCGATCGATTGTATGATCTTTACACCAACACATCCTCGACAAAAGAAATTTGAAATGCTTTGGAAAGTAAGTACAAAGCCGAAGAAAAAGGTACTAAAAAATTCTTAATTTCTAAGTATTTTGACTTTAAGTTTTCTTGAAAATATTCACCTTCTCCAGATCCATGAATTGCAAGTCCTTGTCAACAAGTTAAATGTGGTAAAAATTGAGATCTCGAAAACTTTCAAAGTAGGAGCAATTATTGCTAAATTCCCGGGGACTTGGAAGGATATCGAATGAAAATAATGCATAGTTTCGAATATTACTCTTTGGAACAATTGCAAAAAATCTTTGCATCGAGGAAGAGTCCAAGGCAAGAGATAAGAATGACAACTCTTATGAAGGCACTTCTAAGGCCAATGCTTTAGAGAAAATTGAACCTTTAAGCAAATCCAACAAGAAAAAGCCTTCAAAAAGCTTTAATAAGTTCAAGAAGAAGTCCTAAGGCGATTGTTTCGTATATGGAAAACCTGGATATTATGCAAAGGAATGTCGACAACGAAAAAGAAATATCTCCGAAGGAAAGGTAAACTCTATCAAAGAAGACAATATTGTGGTTACCGTAAGGAAGATCCATGCTATCAAGGGATACATTCCATGTTGGTGGTATGGTACATATGCAACCGTACATGTGTCATACTATAAATCATTGTTCAAAACTTAGTATGAAGTTGATGGAGATTAAGAGATTTACATGGGTAATGAAGTTTGATCCAAGGTGATCGGGAAGGAAATGTAGAAATCATTTTTACTTTCGGCAAGACCATTATTTTGACAAATGTGCTACATGTTCCTGATATGAATAAGAATTTGGTTAGTGGTAATATTTTAGGTAAATCGGGCATAAAAAGTGTTTATGAATTCGGAAACTCGTATTACCCCTAAACTGGAAATTTATTGAAAAATGCTATTCTTGTGAAAGAATGATCAAATTATGTACCGTTGAAAGATTATTAATAATAAAGTCGATTTTGCTTATATTGTTGATTCATTTACTTTATGGCATGCTAGAAAACTAGGCTACATAGGTCAAAGTACTATGAAAAGAATGTTAATATGTGACTTAATTTCTTACAATGAAAATGAGGTATTTAAATGTATCTAAAATGATTAAGAAACCTTAACAAAGTGTAAAAAGAACTTCTAGTATCTTAAAATTAATTCATACGGACATAAATGAGTTAAATGACACGTTGACTAGAGGTGAAAATAGATATTTTATTACCTTTATAGATGATTTCTCTAGAAATACATATGTTTATTTGATGAAACATAAACATGAGGTATTTGATATATTTATGTTTCGCGCGGGTTAGTCGCTAATAATTAAAAGGGATCAGACGATTGTGTAAGGGACAAACCTCTTGAGACAAAGTCCCAAAAAGGGGGTTTTTTTTATTGGCGATGACTTTACAATTGGAAATTAAAAACAGAATGTCTCCAAGGGGCGCAAGCACACGAGTTACTGAAAGAAGTGTTTAAATCTAAGCTAAGGAAATTAAAATTACATGTTCTCCGTTCGAGAGTTTTTGATTCGGCCCTTTTGCTCTATGTCTTTTCTCCCTTTTATACTCCATGGATGATCTCTTTGTGATCAACCGCCTAAAAACTACTTGATCGTTCTACAACTGCCCACTTTCCTCGTAATGGCCAGCTTATTATGAAACTGCCTTTTTTAACTACTGCCATTACTCTTCGTCGTTCAACCGTTTCGATTGAATTCCTTGAATCGTGGAACGTGATAGGGTTGCTTTAATAACTGCTTTGATAACTGCACTTCTTGATAACCACAACACTTTATGTTTGCTAAGACCTTGGACGACTTGAAAGTTTGGGCGAGAATAGAGTAACAGCTCTGGGCGACTTGCAAACTTGGGCGATGGCGTTACCGCGTTCTTCGGCCTCCC